TTGTACTGTGCAATGGCGAGATTGGTGGGGCAGTCCCCAATCTGGTTGAATGTCTCCCAGTAGTAACTATTGTAGGACCTTAATGTCTCTCTTTTCACCCATGTCGATGGAGAGTAGCTGTTCAATCTCCACCGGGGTTTTGGTGTTTTTTCTGAACCTTGTGACAAACGCCTTCGCCAATTGCGCCCAGGAGGCTATGCTGCCTTCTGGAAGTTTTTCGAACCAAGTCAAGCCTAGGTCGCCAAGGCTTGATGGGAAGATGATGCACATTAAAGCCTCGTTTCGCCGATATACCGCCATAACCTGGCGGAAGTGGCTTAGGTGAATGTAGGGGTCCGTCTTCCCCTCGTACGTGGTGAATTTGGGCTGAAGGAAGCCTGAAGGCAGGGGCGCGTTTTCGATTGCCGGAACAAACGGCGAGGTCTGCAGCCTTGCTAATGCTTTGTCCGTTGGTTCGTAGGCAGGGTGTGGTAATGGCATTCTAACCTCGACGCTTCCATGCGTTTGAGGAGCCAACCGTTGAAGGGCAGAAACTCTGCGAAGGTCGCGTGCCCTAGTGTCTTCCTTCTATCGTGCCTTTTCTTCCAGCATGATCCGCAAATCGGATGATCTTGGCAACTCCGTCTGCTTAGATGATGTTTAGTGCGAGTGCGAGGGTCGATAGGTACTTCCCTCTGTGTAAGACCTCAATGATCTTGTTCTCTCAGACCCGGAGTAACGAGTTCTGGAGGTTCTAGACTGAGTATCGCCTGTCCTGAGGCTTCTACTCTCTGTTTGTGATAGTGTGGAATACCTTCCACGGTTTTCTGAGCGGCGAGGGGGCGTCTTGTTTTTGCGCCCCTCTTCTGTCGCCACTCATTTTCCCTTCATCTGGCGCTTCAAGGCCTCCATGTCCGCCGCCATCTTCCTTATTAATTCGTCTTGCTCCTTCACGCGGTCCTCCAGAACTTGAGGATCAATCCTCCGCCTTTGCCTGTCAGGACTTTGTGAATGAGAGTGACGGGGCTGTTAGTCCGCCTTCCCCTAGTATCCCTCCTGGAGTTATGTCGTTGGGGCTCCAAGTCCGCCACGGGAGGTATAGAAGGTAGTCCTTCACGCCTTGCACCCCCATATGGTGTTTGCCCGTCGATGGCGGACTGTGGTAAATCTTCATTGTGCGCCATTGTTCCTAAGAGGTAAAGCTTGATCAAGAGGTTTTGTCCTGTCTGTTTTTCCCACAGACGGCGCCAATTGTACGAGAAAGAAATAAATCTTCTCGTATAATCCTGTTGATCAGGTATGCGCTCCTCCGTACGTCGTCGCTTTACTCCCTGAAAACACAAACGTGAGCTAACCGGCGGATGTGTGCCGGAAACCCCTCCGATGCCTAAGTCAGCAACTAGACAATAGACAATATGCTCTGTGTATTCTAGAGTAAGAATTAGGATACCTGTTCATAGGTCTGGTCATGAGCTTTTATAGACTTTACTTTGGCACAATCCTAGTAGGACTCTTACTCCTCCATGCAGAGTCCTCCTAGGATTCATACTCTTGAAAGATAATGCTTATCCTTTAACACCCCCCCTCACTGCTTAAACCAAGTGAGATGGTTTTACCATGGTTGGATTCCACTATGACCGAGGTAAGCATGGCTTATGCTAAGCCGCAGACTAGACCGAGCTAACTTTAGTTCGGCTCTTCCTTTTATAGCTCTTACCCAGGTTTCTCCTAGCGCCAACCATGGTGTGATCAGACCGAGCTATCAAACAGCAAGGTTCTAGCCGAGACAACCTTGATAAGCCGAGACCGGACTAACTTTGAGTACGGCAACCGGGCTATGTTCAAAGCTTCCTTTAGACCGGAGTAACCTCAAGATTCTTTCGGACCGGAGTAACTTTATACCTCTCTTGGGCCGGAGTAACTTCATGGCCGTTTTACTCAGTCCTTCGCAACGTGGCCCATAACGGCTTATTACCCAGCTCGGCCCAATTTATAAGTATAAATTACCCTCTCAACATCATAACACATCGAGTCAAAGCAACACCTAAAAATCATCAATACGTGGTGCGAGAGCGAAAGCAAGAGTGTAAGAGTATCATGTTTTTAATGTGTCAATAATATCTTCAAAGTGTATAGTGTATATATATATGTACTTGTTTTAATTTTTTATACTTTTTATTGAGGAATACCTTGCAAATATAGTGATGTTGTTGCCAAATGAGAAATATGGCTTTTTTAAAAAATATAAATAATTGGCAAACAATATGGTAAGGTTAAATGTGGCTTTAGTGACAATATGAGGCCATTGGCCTCGGTTTGGGAGTATTTGACATTACTAGTGGTTGTTTGACAACCAGTGCACTTGACCTAGTAATTGTATAATATCTTTTGTGTTGCGAGATCTTAAGGTAAACTTTTGAAAAATTCTATTTTCATACATGTAATTACCTTAATACACATTCTTAATGAAATATTATTTTAATGACAATTATATCATAAATTAAAATGACCATCATGAACATCTACCAACACTCATAATATTATACGAAAATAGTCTTGTAACAAATGCAATGTATAAAAAGAAATAGAGAAATGTATTATTGATTGATTGTATTGATATTGTGTTATTACAAATGGTTCCTTATATAGATGTAGGTGTAGTGGATGGTGGTAGTGGTGTAGTGGGTTAGGTTTAGTGGAGTAGGTGAGGTGGTAGTGGTGTAGTGGGTTAGGTTTAGTGGAGTAGGTGAGGTGGTAGTGGTGTAGTGGGTTAGGTTTAGTGGAGTAGGTGAGGTGGTAGTGGTGTAGTGGGTTAGGTTTAGTGGAGTAGGTGAGGTGGTAGTGGTGTAGTGGGTTAGGTTTAGTGGAGTAGGTGAGGTGGTAGTGGTGTAGTGGGTTAGGTTTAGTGGAGTAGGTGAGGTGGTAGTGGTGTAGTGGGTTAGGTTTAGTGGAGTAGGTGAGATGGTAGTGGTGTAGTGGGTTAGGTTTAGTGGAGTAGGTGAGATGGTAGTGGTGTAGTGGGTTAGGTTTAGTGGAGTAGGTGAGATGGTAGTGGTGTAGTGGGTTAGGTTTAGTGGAGTAGGTGAGATGGTAGTGGTGTAGTGGGTTAGGTTTAGTGGAGTAGGTGAGATGGTAGTGGTGTAGTGGGTTAGGTTTAGTGGAGTAGGTGAGATGGTAGTGGTGTAGTGGGTTAGGTTTAGTGGAGTAGGTGAGATGGTAGTGGTGTAGTGGGTTAGGTTTAGTGGAGTAGGTGAGATGGTAGTGGTGTAGTGGGTTAGGTTTAGTGGAGTAGGTGAGATGGTAGTGGTGTAGTGGGTTAGGTTTAGTGGAGTAGGTGAGATGGTAGTGGTGTAGTGGGTTAGGTTTAGTGGAGTAGGTGAGATGGTAGTGGTGTAGTGCTAACCGGAATCAATGTCGGGACAGTTTACAGAGTCTTGTCGGACCCATAAAGGAGCTAACCGGAATCAATGTCGGGACAGTTTACTGAGTCTTGTCGGACCCTTAAAAAGTCGCACCCTCAAAAGGTGTGCCCAATTTTTTAAAAGGCAGGCCATCAAAAGGCGTGCCCAATCCATCAAAAGGCGTGCCATCAAAAGGCGTGCCCAATTCATCAAAAGGTGTGCCGGACATGATGGCGAGGCACGTGAGTGTCTTGGCTGGCGCGCCCGTTTGTCGTCTGGCGTCAAGGGGCGCGCGATACGCGTGGCTGCCTTGGCTATTTAAGACGAAGGCTGAGGCCGAGGCTGAGGTAGAAGCTGAGACAGAAAAACTGAGAGAAACCTCTGAAAAATTCTTCGTGTTCCTCTGAAAAATTTTTCGTGTTCTTGAGAGAGATACTCTGGAAATACTCTGGATCCAACCCTTCTCTGAAAAAAACTCAGCAACCCATAACATGGCCTCGTCTTCCCGTTCAGCTACCCAGAATATGGCCTCTTCGTCTCGTGGTCTGCTCACCCTCTTTCCCGACCTCAACGAGACAACAAGAGAGACAACTGGTGTGGCGGCACTAGAACCTCAACCAAGCGCCCCAGAGTTTGCTCCGTTGAACTTTCCGATGCGGTCTGTGGAGCAAAGAATGGCAGTGCAAACGGATGTGGAGGCCAATCAGTATACATTGAAGTCATGTGTGGAAACCATGACTGCGGTGACAAATTTGTCAAACCGGCTGCAGAGTAGGACAAATGAGGTGCAGCAGTTAAACTCCCAGCTGGTTCTGCTCCAACGCATGTATAAGGATACGCGAGCAGAGATAAGCGTGCTAAGGGCAGAAAACAAGGAGCTGAAGCGGAAGGCCACCGTGATGTTCCGATTTGGAGGGCCACCATATGCTGCAGTGGAGGAGCAGGGAGTAGGAAACGTGCTTGGTGGTCTAGGAAGCACGGAGGCAGTACCGTCAAGAACCGCCCAGGACGGAGGCAAGAAGAAAAGACCGGCGGCAGAGTAGAGAAGAAAAAAATGCCACTGTTTTGGTTGGTTGATTGTTGTTGTTGTTGTTGTTGTTGTTGTTTTTTTTTTTTTTTTTTTTTTTTTTTTGAAAAAAGTGTTGGGCAAATGAGGAAATTGTTTGTTTGATTGTATGTTTGATTGGACGTGTGCCCCTCTTTACAAAACAAAAACAAGAAAATAAAAGAAAATAATAAAAAAAGAGATATATATATGTATATAGAGATATATGGGGTAGGGGAAAAGATGGGTTTTAAAAAATAGTGGGTATGGGAAAGATGTGGTGGAAGTGATGATTATGTTTGTTTTTTTTTTTTTTTTTAAAATTTGGTTCTGTCAGTGAGCACATGGAGTTGGAAGAATGGGTGGATAATAAAAAAGAAAAAGAAAGGGAGCATGGTGGGTATGTGAAGGAGATAATAAAATAAAAGTGGGAAATCACGTGGGTAGGAGAGAGGTGTGTGTTAGCTGGAATTGTAAGACCACTGTGATTAAAAAAAAAAGCAAATAATAACTTGTAAGTAGAGTTTATCAATGCTGAGGGATTGATTAAAAAAAAAAAAGCAAAGTGGTCTAACAACTTGAAAGAGAGAGAGAGAGAGGAGAGTGTATGTGACATTCCACCTAGGGGTCTTTCCATGGCATCTACCTTTATCGGGAATTCAACCTCCATTCAGGAAATGTTCAGGAGAGTGAGTGAGCAGTTCACTGCTATGTTCAGGAGGAAGGCTTTCTTGCATTGGTATACAGGGGAAGGAATGGATGAAATGGAGTTCACGGAGGCTGAGAGCAACATGAACGATCTTGTGTCTGAGTACCAGCAGTACCAGGATGCTACTGTTGATGAGGAGGGTGAATATGAGGATGAGGAGGAAAGAGGAAGACACTGTTGCAGTGCTTTATACCCCTGTTCCTGGGGCAACTCCAGTTCCATTCTTTTTCTCAGATAGAGAAACAGATAAATTGAAGAGGTATGATTTGGAAGAGTTGAGAAAGACCCCAAATCAATTTTATGCGCTGGAGAGGAATGAGACTGAAACCAACAGAGCGGACACCACAGGAGGAGAAGATGGTGGCTCGATGTCGCCATTGATGAACAAATATGTGTGAGGCAGAGAAGAGTTCAGCTATGACTTTCTGGCAGCGGAGTGAAGGTACGTGTAGAGGTCCGGCGGGCGGTCAAGACGAGGTTGCCGCCTGCCGGTGAAGCAAATTATTAGATTCTAAACCTGCTCTGATACCATGTAACAAATGCAATGTATAAAAAGAAATAGAGAAATGTATTATTGATTGATTGTATTGATATTGTGTTATTACAAATGGTTCCTTATATAGATGTAGGTGTAGTGGATGGTGGTAGTGGTGTAGTGGGTTAGGTTTAGTGGAGTAGGTGAGGTGGTAGTGGTGTAGTGGGTTAGGTTTAGTGGAGTAGGTGAGGTGGTAGTGGTGGTAGGTGATGGTAAATTCTAACAAGTCTATATACAAATCTGTTAAAAAAAAAAAATCTCAACATCTCAACTCCTCGCCAGTTCTTCAATCATCTTCATAGCTTCATCTTTACAGATCAAACCCTAGAAACTCAAATCGACAAACAAAGAGATATTTTTGACAAAGTCATATTGTTAACACCATAAATCTGCAATTTTTATTATTATTTATTATATAATTGCAGAACACGTGGCATCCTCTTATTCATTTGGAAGTTAAAAGAAGTTATAGAGATAATGGAGAATATGAAGGACAAAGTGGATAGTACTTTTTATAGATAAATAAAATGCTCTGCAAATCTGCATGTAGAGGCGGTTTTACTTTTCACACACATCCACACTCTATTGATCCATCCATCAATCCATTCCAAGAAAATCCAACAAAGCTGCGAACTTGCTTGATCTCAACTATCATCTTCTACCTCGAGTTCGTTCCTTACATCCCAATTTTTTTCCAATCTTAACTGTTTCTTATTTTTTACGCAAATTTTGTCAACACTTTGATGAAGCTTCATCATCATAGCTCTTCAACACAACACCAGCTTTTCATATTGCTCAGTGGAGTTTCTCTTCACCGTTGAAGTCTTCACTGTGAACCGAATTAGAGAAGACATTGTTCTTCAAATTTGAATTGTTGTGTAGAAAAAGGGATAGTGTGGGGAAAGAGAGTTGAGGTGGTGTGTACAATATATAAATTAAGGGTATGATTGGTATAATTGGTATGTGAAATAAGAATAAAAATTAATAATTAAACTACTAAGTGTGTACACTGAGAAAAGATGTGTACTGAGATAATTATGTGTGTGGAAATAAATTTTCCTAAACTTTTGTGGAGAGAAATTTGATACGCTTTAGGTCATGTTTGTTTTGCAGTTTGAGTGGCCGAATTGGACTACCATGGCTGTGGGTCCCACTGACAACATATTTGGTAGTAAAATGGGAGAGTAGATTGATAGTCCAAGGGGCTTAATAATCTCCATCAATTGGGGGATTAACTTGGTTGGGTAAAGGATGGGATTACGAAAATAGTGAGAGAATTAAGTATATTTTATATAAAAATTTTATTTTTTTAATTTTATTTTTTTTACAAAGTACATATGTTTGTTTTAATATTTGTTTTAATTTTTTTTAATATAGAAATAATTTTTATATTTATTTTATATAAAAATAATTTAACAATCTCATCATCTCCCACTATCATCAAAACAAACACAATTTTACTTAATCTCCTCACTAACAATCCTCACTTTAACAATCTCTTCACTAATCATCTCCTCACTAACAATACTATCCAACTTAATCCACTAATGCTGTGTTTGGTTGGGGGATTTGGGAAGGGAAATGGAAAGGGAAATGGAAATGAAAGGAAAAGGAGAAAGAATTAATAGAATTCCAAATCCCAACTATGTTTGGTTGTGTTGGTTATAAAATAGAATTGATGTCCTAAAATGTCTCCTATTTCTTTATTTATTTCTCACCCCCTTTCTTTTCCCATATATTTTTTATTATAACCAAACATAAATAGGATTACATTTCTCATTCCTTTTCCAAATTTCACCCCAAAAACCTCAACCAAACACAGCATAAACAAACGTGGCCTTACAGTGGTGGCTTATTTTTCCCCGTATGAGGGTTGTAGTAGTTAGACTTGGACTTAGCATATTGGTTATGCAGGTTGTGATTGTTGGGCTTGGTATATTAGTTATATTAGGTTTCATTGACTTTTTAGTTATTGTGGTTAGTACTCTATTTGATTGGTGATGTAAAATATTTTTTATAGTATTTATAATTACTCTCCTATCAATTAAAAAGAAACTAATCCGACAGTGATTTTTTTTTTTTTTGAATTGCCAGCAAATCTATCTATTAGCGTGAGTACGTGATTTGTCTACTCCCTTCAATGGATTTAGTGTTGTGTGGAGCGTGCCGAGAAAACTCAATCACATCAAGATAATTAATGGTTTCGAATATGAAACAATCACATAAATCCATTAGAGATAAACAATCACAAAATATCAATATTTATGTGGTTGAGCCTAAGCCTACCACCACAGGTAAAGATAAGGATCTACTAGTAACGAAAACGATTACTCTGAAAAGCTACAATTGTGGCAAAGCAATCCCTCACAATGCTTACCACCCAAATACATGATCTCTCACGAAATCCAAAATTCTCTCTCTACCTGCAAACGACAAATTCTCACAAAGAGACGCCAATAAATCTAGTTAAATATAACCATAGACTCCAAATAAAGAGAACCCTCCTCTAATTCCTCCAAAACGGGCAATGGCCTCTTTCCAAAGAGAGATCCCACAGGACTTCCAGTAGCTTGACCAAAGAAATTGAAAAGTTCAATTAAATTAATGAGAGTCTCCACTTATTTATAGCAAATAATCATTCCTAAAGTGAAATAGGTTTTCTTCCATTCTTGTCCAAAACTAATTAGGAAACATTAAATCAAAAATTTTAGAGGCTATGTTTGGCACAAAAAACTTGGGTTAAAATAGTCACAAAAAGAAAAAATGAATTAAAAAAATTAATAAGATAAAATGTCACCTTCATAATCATTTCATTTTTCTCTTACAAAAATAAAAAAAATCAAAAAGTTCATCGCAAACGAGACTTTTTAATCTCAGACTAAAATAATCAAAAAATTAAAAAGCCAACCGACATTCTAAATAAAGACTCAAATAGGTATCTCACAAATCCAAACCAAATCAAAGTCAAAATCAAATCAATATTTGATTATCTACAAATCCTATTTTAATTAAGAAATAGAATATCAAATAAAATTATATTGAAAATGGGAACATTAAACTAATAATCCAACATTATGCATTCTGGTTAATGTTCGATTCGTTCAAAATATCGCAACTCTTGACACTTCTTAAAAATGATGTTTTTAACACCACGTATTAGTGATTTTCTCTTTGTGGGAGGCCGTCCAAATGTTTTTCGATAATCTGAACCGTTCATATTGTAGGATTCGTCGAGTAGATCATCCTTACAAAAAATTAAGTTAATTGAATATCTGTAGGCCTATAACCAAAGTACACTTTTTTTATAAAAATTAACAATTAACATAACTTTCATAAATTTTTAAAAACAATTAGGACCTTATCATACGGTTATAAATATCCGATTAACTTGATTTTGTATATAAATAATATTCTCAACGAATCGTACAATATGAACAGTTCAGCTCATCGAAAAACACAGGACGATCTCCCACAAAAACACAATAGCTATTACTGTGCTATAGGCACAACAGTATCCCCGCTTCTTATAAAGTACATACTTGATTTGGTTAAAAGAGCAAATTACGGATAATCCAGTATGTCTTCTTCTTTTTTCTTTTAACTCTAAAAAATAAAAGTGATGATATAGAATGAAAATTTTATACAAAATAATATGACATTTCGTTATTTTTTTATTTTAAACTAAAACAACTATTATGGTTGATAATTTTTTATAACTATCAAATTTTAAAATTGAGTTTTATGTATAAAAATTTAATTTGTAAATCAATTTTCAAAATATAAAAGGAAAAAGCGTGATGTTCCATTCCATGCTTGGTGGCCGACGAGAATGGTTTTCCATCAGCCTTATTCTTTCACTTTTTCCATTTTCTTATTGTTTTGTTTCTTATTAATAAATCTAAGCTTTATATGAAGCTGTTGAGCATGCTAATAGTAATAGAATATAGAAAAGCAATCAAAGAGAAAATAGTTGGGAAAATGAGTGAAATATCTCTTTTTAATTTTTTATAGTAAGAGAGATTTAGGCCTTTGGTAAGTAGTTGTTTTAGTCTAAAAGTCAAAAAGGTATTAAAAAACTTATAACTTATACAAAAAAATCAAAGATTCTATTTTCTCTTTACTTTTTGCACATCTTTTTCATAAAAAGTCAAAAAGTTATTCCAAACATACTAATTTTTTTTACTTCATATTTTAGCTAAAAAATCAAAAAGTTACTGAAATAGCCTGTTTCCAAACGAGGCCTTCATATGTTTTTTTTTTATTAGTTAAATTTCCTTAATAATATTATTAGATAAATTTTAGTTTGTCACAAATTTTTTTTAACTTGCCATAGAGAAATTTGTTTATCTGTGACGAATTTCTCTGTGCTAAATTTTTTTCTATGTCAAAATTTATCTATAAAAATATTGAGAGACCGCAACTATTATGAAAATGTCACATATTATTTATCTTATAAAATCTTAATATCAATGATCTTAAACTAAAAATCCCAAAATCGTATTATGCAAACAATAATATAAAGGTTGGCTTAGGTTCACAGTACAGACTAGTTCGTTTCATAGTTTCATTTCAATGATTTGGTTTGTTCAAGTTATAAATTTTTATATATAAATTATTTATATAAAAAAATTAGATTGATTTGATAATTATAGTTTTGTAGTATTTTTTTTAAAAAAAAAAAGAAAAAGAAAGAGAGGAAGACATGTATAGTTTTCCAA